AAATATCTAGTTTCATTATTGCAGTTAGCAAACAGAAAGTTGCCAGTAGCCCAAATTCGAGAAAGAGCCGTCCGGAGAAAGGAGAAATTCACTTTTAATTATTTACGGCTAAACAGAAAGTTGGCCCAAAGGAGGGGAGTTGGCCACAGGAGACACTTTTTTGTGCTACGGACTCGGAAACTTTTCTCTTTCTCCAAAAGCGTTTTTGCCTGCCTTTCATTTGCTGCCGGCGTGGCCGAAAGGGGAAATATGGTTGGTGTCGAAGCATTTGAGTATTTCCTGTGCTTCCGTTTGCAATTCCATTACTTTAATGTGCCATGAAGGAAGGGAAAACTTTTAAATCTTTATTTATAAAGGCTTCCGCCCAGGCGGCAACTTTTGTGTGCGAGTGAAAATGAAATAATTCCGACAGCCGCAGCCTTGTGGTGGGCCATGCGGTTTTCCTGGCCGAAACTATGCCAGCCAAACTTGCTAAATGCCCTGACAAACTTTTCCCTTGCCAGAAGGGTGGCTCACACATACATCAGGATATTTCAAGATTTTCCCGGCTTAAGTGCGATTAGGCTTAGGACGTGCAAATTGTTTAGCTAATCCATCGCCCGCTTCTATTTACTTGCAGTGCATGCGAGCCTACGTGGAGTTCGAGATTTCCGAGGGCGCCTACGAGATCTCCTGCCCGGACGCCAAGTGCCCCGCCCAGGGCGCCATTTCCCTGCCCGAGATAGCGAACCTGACCACAACGAATCTGCTGAAGAAGCACCATCGATATCGCCTAAATCGAGGTGAGTCCATGCCCAGGCGATTGCCCAAGAGACCTCTCACACATGCTACACTTTCATTCAGAAATCGAACTGGACAAGACGCGCACCTGGTGTCCACGCGCTGGCTGCGAGACCATCTGCACGGTGGGTGCGGCAGCACAGCCCGGCCAGTCCAGCGCCATTTGCCAAATGGACGAGTCGCCGTCGACCTCGCAGAGCTACAGTCCCCAGCAGGAGGCAACCGGAAACGGAAGCACAGGTGCCGCGGCCGGAAGCATTGCAGCCGTGCTCTCGGTGTCCGTTCACTGTCCCTCCTGCAAGGACGAATTCTGCGGCCTCTGCAAAAAGGCGGTAAGTGTGTGGCATTGTTTTCGCTTCCTGCCATAAACATGGCACATACGGAACGAATATTCTAAAGTTTGAATTAATCACAACGGCAGTTTAAGAAAACGACAAACAAATTCAAACAAATCATTTACATGGATATATTAAAACAACGGCACCCAGTTTCTAGCATGTTTATGGGTTTCTAGTTAACAATCACTTTTCTCCGCCTTGCAGTACCATCCGAACATAAGCTGCGATGAGTTTGGACGACGCCTGATTGCCGATGGCCAGGACGACATTGGCATACCGTTCGACAACGAACTGATCAAGTGCTGCCCCATGTGCGCGGTGCCCATCGAAAAGGACGAGGGCTGCGCCCAGATGATGTGCAAGCGCTGCAAGCACGTCTTCTGCTGGTACTGCCTGGCCAGTTTGGATGTAAGTGCCACAAAATCCCACAAATGGTGGTTGTCTCATCTTGTTTGTATGCCCGCAGGATGACTTCCTGCTGCGCCACTACGACAAGGGACCGTGCAAGAACAAGCTGGGGCACTCGAGGGCCTCGGTGGTCTGGCATCGCGCCCAAGTGATCGGGATCTTCGCCGGCTTCGGAATCCTGCTGCTGGTGGCCTCGCCGCTGCTGCTGTTGGCTGCGCCCTGCATCATCTGCTGCAAGTGCAGGGGGTGCACCGGATCCAAGATCGATGAGGTGGACGCCGAACTGGAGGAGGAGGTCACCGCGTTGCAGGGCTAGGTGGCTGCGTCTCCATTCATCCCCATCCATACGCGACATAGGCTGCAGCCTGTGAATGCAGCTGCTGTAATTACTGGTAGTTTCTATTGTTAATGACGACAGCTTACGTACATTTATTTTAGTTATTACAATTATAATTGTATATGTGTTAACTAAATTGTGATATTTACAGTGATTCGATTTCTAATTGAATCGACAAATTTGTTGAGAACCTATACAAAGACAAGGCGCCTTCGATTCTTTTTAGGTTCTGTCTCTACATATATTCTTTCCGCCCCCAACCACACCTTTGAATATATATTCGACTAAATCAATCTGTATAAATCGAGTAGGTCCTCTTCGTAGCGCATAAGTTAGTCTAAATATATAGGAGTACGCCTCGTATTGCAACAGTGCTTTTATAACGCACCCACCCAAACAAAATCGCCCCACTCACCCACTCAATTCTTCTCTCAAGTATTACGCATGCAACTAACACCCAAAATTGATGGGTCCCTTTGATCCACTGCTTGTCAATGCTTTTATCTACGCAATCAAATATAAAGGAGGTGTATATGATGTCACTACTACTGTTTATCAAATGTATTTAATTGTAAATTTGAGTACGCAGCTAGGCAAAATGCAGCGCCCAGTAGCTGGCGGTGCACCTGGCTGGGGATGATTTGGTTAATGTAAATTATTGAATTATTTAATGCATATACACTCAGAACACACATATATCAAAATACGTATGACATAAAAGTGCGTGTATCTTTAATGAAATCATATTTAAACTCTACTCTTAATGTGAACAACTACCGCGTATGCTGTTTGAAATAAAAATGTTAAAAGAAAAGTGCGGATTTGTATTTTTGCTTTACAGTATTGGCTTCAAATCACAAGATGCCTGATTTCATCTAATTCATTGAATTTCGATTTCAAAATGGTTAAGCTTGTAACGGCTGTTCTAAATGGCAATGTATGGCAACGCCATGATTGGCAGCTGCGAGGTTCGTGCATGTGCTAGATGTGGCATTCCGCGCTTACCATGGTCACATTAGGCAATGCATCCAATAATAATTTATCGAAAACATTGGCCGGCAAATAGTTTTGTATTTACATATTTTAACCGCACATTAGGATAGGTAAACCGCCGACGCGATGGACGACCAGGCGTGCCCGCGGTGCAAGACCACCAAATACCGGAATCCATCGCTCAAGCTGATGGTGAACGTTTGCGGCCACACACTATGCGAATCCTGCGTGGACTTGCTGTTCCTCAAAGGATCCGGCGCCTGTCCAGAGTGCATGGTGCCCCTGCGGCGCAACAACTTCCGCGTGCAGCTCTTTGAGGACCCAATGGTGGAGAAGGAGGTGGACATTCGCAGGCGCATTCTGCGCGACTACAATAAGCGCGAGGAGGACTTTGCCTCCTTGGCGGAGTACAATGACTATCTGGAGGAGATCGAGGACATAGTGTACAATCTGTGCAACAACATCGAGATCATCGAAACAAATAAGCGGATCGAGGCCTACAAGCGGGATAACCGTGAGGTCATTCAGCGGAACAAAACCCGCGTGGGACGCGATGAGTACGCTTTGGAGGAGATGCTGGAGCTGGAGAAAGTTCAGGAGGAGGCGCGTCGGAAGGAGCTGGAGGAACTGGAGAATGAGCACAAGAAAAAGAAGGCTCGCGACAAGCAGGCGCTGATCGAGGAGCTGATGTACAGCGGCAAGGATGCCGCTCAAATTGTCACCGAGTTCGCCGAGAAAGCGGAAAAGCAGCGCGAGGAGGAGAAGCAGCTTCCGCCGCCAAAGCCCGCCAACGAGTTCTCCACGGGCATCAAGTTCGGACAGACCGCTGATCCCAGCCTGCTGCCCGTTCCCAAATCGGAGGAGGGTCCCCTCTTCGTGTACGAGCCACTTGTTGCTTTAAGTGAGGGACCTGCCATGCCGCCAACAAGTGAGATCGTATCCAGGGGCTATATTGCCCACATACGAGCGGAAACATCGCAGGAGAACGCCGGCGGATTCACATCCGCCCTGGCTTGCGAGCGGGCACTTCAGGAGGCGCTGCAGGGACTCTACTATACGGCTACAGCGGGTGTGCTTTCTGGCACCTAGACCTCCAAAACTAACTTAATGGTCGCACAACCAGAGCACTGAACGCTTAACTTTGTTGAACAAATGTGTCCTATACGAATCCCTTCAGTTAACTCGTAACTTAATATATGTTAAAGAAATAAATGCTATATCCTACGTTATAGATATTATTTATTAAAAGAATGGACTGTTGTTGGCTACATAGGAAAAGGAATCCGTAAACAAAATTACTAGGCCAAGCATCTCTTTGCATTCCAAGTAACATGGTAGGACAAAATGGCAGTACAACTTCCATTGACAGAGAAACTTTAAAGCTTTGATTTTGATAAATACCAACATCCCACTGACAGTTTCCCTTTCGCCTTTTAGTATCCCAAACGTACAAAGTTCAACCAATTTATTTTAGCTTTGAAAACTTTAAGAAACGAGTTGGCTCGAATAAAAGTATTTGTCTGGCAAGAACTTAAATAGGGCCGAACAGAAAAACAGGTGCTTCGACTACAGACTTGTTTTATTTAAATACTTTTAACAGTAAATATTTATAGGCATTTGCTGGATAAACATACATTGGATTTAACTTGCTCTTTATACATTACACGGATTATAGTTAAATTGTATGATAGTCGGACGAGTAGCTCGCCACATCCTAAGATCTACTTGCACAGTAGGAGGTAAATGTGTTCTGCGATCGGGCCACTTGCGGGGTTTTTGGCCACAGATGGACTATCCTAGCCAAGTACGTGAACTGGTTAACTTAACGACCTATGCATGGGCAATGTGGGAAGATTACAGAGTGCAGGACTGGTGACAATGAGAGCGATCAGGGATCAGGGATATGGCTGCTAATACATTTAAAATGCTGTAAACTTAACTATGATCGCATGAGTTTTGCTTCTCATCTAGGATGAGAAAATACACAGAATTAATATAAGCTGGGATGGAGGGGTTGTGTGTTGGTTGGGTAGAATGTCTCCTTGGGCAGAATGCCGCGAACGATGCTCGTGGAATGTGGAAGCAGTAACCGGCGATAAGTGCCAGAACTATCAAACGTTCGACTGGTTGCATACGCCTAGTAGTTAAATGGTAGCATAACATTTAATTTAGACGTAAATTTCGGTCTTAACAATCTAATTAAAATGTTAACATTTAATAATAGTTTTTCGCACACGCCTTTTGTTGACTATACATAGCTATAATTAGAATTGGTTGCATGCGCCACGATTGTTTGCCAAACACTACTCATAAGTTTCACGTTAACTTAATTTGCTTTGTTGCACATGGCGCTCGCAGCCGAGTGCACTTGGGTTTTAGTATGCTCCACTCACGAGCAGTGCTTGGTCGCCGTCCCATATTTCTTAGACTTCTGGGGAATTCTCGCCGTGCTATTCTTCTCTATTGCTAATGGTGTTATTTTTTGTTTTTTTTTTGGGTGGATGCGCAAAGCAAACATCAGCAGGCAGTATTCGTAAATGGCACATCGAACTAAACAGAATCATCTGAAATAAACAATTAGTCGAGCTTAGAGTCGGTGGGCTGCAATTGGAAAAGCACTCATACGCACCGTGGTACCACCACTTAGTCTTTTTAGGATTCTTATTACAGGTTTTAACGTAGATCGTGTTGTCCGGCGGACGTTTCTTTTCGCGGCAACTACTCAACATGGAGGCTATGCTAAGGCACACGGACTGCACGGACAGCGCCGGCGACCAGTCCTCGGTCAGAATGGATAGGCAGATGTGTCCGTTGCTGTAGACATGCGGATGCACAGGTATATTGGTGCCGATGAAGGTCACCTGGCAATTAGGAGGAGACGGTTAAGATTCTCAGCAGCTTCTTCGCTTTGTTCAACTGAATCATACCTCTGGCGAATCGAAGGGATATTTATTGTTGAATTTGAAAAGTAGCTGGAAGTCCTCGCCCTCGTAAAGTGTGCCCTCGAAACCTTTAATGTTTATTTTCCATCTGTAAACAAAACATAAGTATTAGTGTCAGCTTCCAACAACTGCTGGCTTTGTTTTCAGCGCGAGTTGCTGAATTAAGCGAATTTTTTGTATACTTTTCATTACGCATGTGCTTGATTTCAACCAGTTTGAGTTGACGCTGAACTTGGCCTACTCCGCCTCGGAGGCCATACTTACTCGGATAAATTTTGCTGTACGCTCTCGGTGTCGATGGTTACGCCTGGTGGCGGCTCCTTGATCAGGGACATCAGCTCTTTGTGTAGGCGGCGCTGTGGGGGGAAAATAAAAGGTAAAGACTGGTATTAGTTAATGAATCGGACAGTACGGGGCATATCTTATCGCGGAACACACCTACAGCTGGTCAGTCTACTTAAGAGTTCTCAAGACTTATTTTTTCCGCCGCCTTATCGGTGCGCCATTTCTTTGGCTGGCAAACGCCAATATACGCTAGATGGCGAGCACATATGTACATACGTATATAACAAAATGCACGATAAGATAAAAAGGAATGTCACTGAAATTTATAGAACCGCCAATTGTTTTTCCGTCTTTGTGGTCTCCCTTATCGAGTGATTGCCACTTGCAGGCCCGTTTTCAGAGCCATAAACAAGTACCACACTGCTGCCCCCACAACTGAGCTGCTGATAAAGGGTTTGATCGATAAGGGCTGGGTTTCGCATTGAATTGAATAATAAAAACAAATCTCGGGGCACAGCCTTGAGGAGAATCAGCGGCAAATTCACGCAGATTTCTTGGAACTCAAGACACTACACACCCATGACGCAATGAAGCACTATATATGGCCGACCAGCCAGCCGCTCGAACGTGATATCTGGCCAAAGTTCAGGTTTTGTATCTCGAATATACTTGCCTCCCATCGCGAGTTGTCCAACTGCAGTGGCTTGCCGCACTTGGAGACCGGCGGTGTTTTGGGTTCCTTGGGCTCGGTTATGATCTCCGATTTGGGTATTTTGTCTTTGGGTTTTTTAAAGAGCTTCAGCATTTTGTGGTTCTAGTTTTCTCACAGTTTTTCTCACAAATTCGAGCACTACTTCTGTCACCAGTAACTTGTCACTATTTTCAGATTTCTCTCGACTTGCTGGGCCTTTAGGTATTTGATTTTACAACTTAGGCTAGTCACACAGTTCAATATGCCAGCGTTTTTCCCAGGGGACGAGAGTGGACGCGGGGCGTGGCAGTCATTTCATTCGCCAACCGATTCTTCACGACCAATTGCGGCAACGTTCGTGGGACGACTGCAGGAAAGCGCCCAGAAAATTGTGGGAGAGACTGCAGGGCGAGTCGAGTGACGAAGCGCGACGTAGCGACGTGTCTCGGTGTACGTACGTTGGTATAAGTAGTAGTCGTCGCCGCTTTCGGCACCTCTCCTATCGCACCACCACCTCCCGCTCCTCCCCGAACCCCTGGTTGTATATATGTACTCGCGTTGTGGTGCACTATCAAAAATGAGAATTCGCAAGTGCAGCAAAACGGCCCAAACTAGTTCGTTAACCCAAACGAGTTGCCGCACAGCTGGTTTTGGCTAAAACTTAAGTCGCGATGGCGGCTGCTGCAAAGGTAAAGGTACTAAAGGTACTACCTTATCTGACCACGATAATGGCACGCAGCCATTAGCTGATAAGCGCACGATTAGATTGCAGCGATGGAAATGGCGATAAGCCCATCTACATATCTGTAAATACAGTGTGGGAAAAGCTCTACGCATGGAGCTACCAAAATATATTTGCATAAGTAAATGCGAGGCAATCTTTCACTGTTGTACAAGCTAATCAGCAGTTGCGATTTTACGGAAGTGATTGTATTAAATTGCACTTATGATAACATGTGGAATAAGGTTCCCTCGCACTGAAGTTAATTGGGAATAATTTTCCAGTGCATTGCGAACTCGTTTTGCTCACTGCATACTCGAACAAAAGGAACACAAGTGTTCAAGACGGTTGCATACGTCAATGGGGCATACATTTCAATTGAAGGCATAAATGGGATCTTCGGCGTTCCAAACTGAAATGAAGGCGAGCGGCTGCTCGTGATTAAAGGCAATCAAGCAGGGCCCTAGAAGATGATCGATTATATAAGTCGGACACTGGTTTACAGCAGAACTGGTTCTAAATGAAGCGACAGATCGACAACCACTTAGCGAGGCCAATTAAAGGGGACCCATAAAATCAGCTCCGCAACCATGTCATAGAATATATGTAGTATTTAGTATGATGGCCGCTAAATGCGAAGAACTAAGCACTGAAGTAGGCCAGACCAATAAACACGCGCCACACTCTGCGGGGGACTACTTGCGTTTATTTTAGACTCAATCAAACTAGAAAGCAAAACAAAAGCTGCTTGAATCAGCCAGAAATAAATAAATACAACTGCAATTGAATGCCAACGTCTAGGAGCAGAGCGCTGCCAGGGAAATTTTATGAAAACCCAAAACAGTCCAACAATGGACTCGAAAAATTCTTCGGCAATAAAAGCCAAGCAGAGTGTAAACAAATAAACCAGCGACTGCCAGACTTTGATGGCGCTGGAAAGGGGGCCTCCTCTGCTTTTTATTTATTTCGCATTTTCCCAGAATTGTTTTCGGCTAAGCACAATGGCCGGCGAGCACCGAAATCTTTGTGGCTGATAAACATTTTGGCAGGTGATAGCCGCAGTATGTTGGCGGTAAGCCGGAGGGTGAAGGCCGTTTTGCATAGACGACGTAAACATGGCAGACGTGGGTGGCTCGGCAAGATGGGGAAATCATTTGAAATGAATCACGGCCCGAAAAATGTTTGGAAATCGCATTTGCCGGCCAACCTTGGCTCTGAATCACACGCCAGGCTACAATAAACAAACACAAGGCAGCACTTTGGCCAAATTATGCAAGGGGGAGGACCAGAGGCCCAGGGGCCCAGAGGCCCGGTCCCAAAGCCATATAAAGCGATTTCCTGAACCGGAGAAATGCTAAGCGCATTACGGTAAAGGTGAAAGCGGAAGAACCGAGGGATGGGCCTGATTATACACTCGCTGCAACCTTAAACTTGGCAAGAAGCCACCTGCCCTTCGCCGCCGGTCGATAAATCATCGTGCACGTCATCGTCGTACATTGTGACGTCAGAGATCGTGCTGAGTTGCGTTTTTATAGAAATACGAAAACCTGATGCGCCAGTTTCGGCGTTATCATCTGCTTGAAAGAGCGGCAATCGCCATGTGTCACGTTCGCGGCGGATGAGCAACAAGTTCCAGACCGCATCTAGAGCATCTCCTTTGGCCGATTGCCGCTGGCATGGAAGCATATGGCCGTAGGGAGAACCGGGAAACGTAAGCCATCACAACGAGGACGTGTTGTCGTAGCAGACACGTGAAAGGCGTGTGCAATTACAATGTGCGAAACTTGTTGCTGTAGGGAAAAGACAACGGAAACGCAGTAATTAAATTAAAATGAAATGGAATGTAGGCGACTTAAGCACAAAGGTGTCTCTTCTCCGAGATTAAAGCGTTCTTCGTTGAAAGGCGATGGAACAAGTGATGTGTGAAGTAACACATCAATCTCTATGTCAATGAAATTGCGCAGGTACCTTCAAAGCGGATAAATCTGCCGATCGGCGATCACGTTTCGCAGGTCAGTGACTTCCGTAATCCCTCTATTGCCAAGACCTTATCAAGGGGACTGCTCTGCTGCCCTTTGGATGCCTTTCGAAGCCGCCTTTCAAACTTCATCAATCACCAATTGCCTCGCGGGAGTGCTAACAGAATCACTTCCTTATGGCGAATATTTGTTGTGCCTGGTATTCTTTGTGATCGGCTCTGCCCATGCATATTTCATGATGCTTCGGAGGCTCGATATGCATATCTTGATTTTCAGACGCCTTCAACAACTTATTACTAACATATAAAAATAAATGTATATGGAAAATGTAGTATTCAAAACGTTTTAAACTGGTTCTACAATGTGGTGGCTATGGCCTGCAGTTTATTTATAGAGATCTAATGAGTAAAGGGGAGCGCCCGGCACTTAATATGTTTAGCGCGTGCCAATAATGTCGCAATGGGAAAGGGGACAAGAGAACCCCTGGGAAAAACTTTTGGCCACCGGTGATCAATGGTTTGCTAGAGTTGAACCTGCGCACTTGGATCCAAATTCGAGTATTTCGGCTATGAGTTTCGCGTCGCGAAGAATCTGGCCAGAGCAGCGCGTGCGAATTCGCGTGGCATCGAGAACTGAATGCGAGCGGTGTCACTGGCGATGAGCTTCTATTTTCGGCGGACGGGAGAGCGATCCGAGTGAGCCACATATGTACATATAAGTATACAAAGCAACTGCTTGATGCGCAAGGTGCTGCAGCTTAAGGCAACAATATTAAGCCCGATCATATCTGGGTAGTTAAAAGGTACAAATGCACTGTCAGAAAAGACGTACTGGTAGATGTACGATGTAATTGGCGTGACTTAATTATAAATACATAGGCTTTGTAAAATGTACCATTTATCTTAGTAGATTGAGGAAAATAAGGCAGGGAAGTAATGTAGTCCATACAAGCAATACGAAGCTGCCCATTTCAGGCCAACAGCTCCCCCAAGGGCATCGAGCTGGCAAGGATCGAGTGCATTGTTTACGCGGTATAAACAAGCATTCAGGCGAAGGGAAAGTGCAATGAATGCCGTGTAAACATTTGGCCAGTGGGAGACAGATGACATTGGGCTGTGTCTGTGGCCTGTGGGTGGGCACAAACAGCGGGTCGATTATGGCCGGGTTAGTGGCAATTAGCGACCCGGGTCAGATGACCTCGGCCTGCAGGAACCAATCAATTCTATGGCCATAGACTTGATCTTGAGCTTATCGAGCAGGAAGCTGTATAGGCTTATCGCTCCTCAGCTCTGGATCTCTAGAACGATGTGGTTGAACTCTCGTGTATGGCACACCGACATGTGATTGCGGAAGAAAACCCTCGGATTGTAAATATTTGCCCAGCTGCGGGTAAAACCCTCGGATATCGAAATAATCCCAAGACTGCCAGACAACTCACCTCGCTGGGCGACATCGAAGACATACTGGTACTGCTTGTCCTGGGGAAATCCGTCCTTGTGTACCTTCCGCGTCCTGCTCCTTCTGGCTGCTCCGCTCGCTGGCTGTCGCTTCCGTTTCCTGCGTGGCCAAAGCTGTGCGTAAAGCCTGCTTTTTCAGGTTTAAGTTGGTAAATTTTATTAGAAAAATAAATATCTGAGCGGACAGTGTGACTCTCCGGGCAGTGTTGCAAAACATCCGTGCATCGCACGTACCAATTGCGACGGTTGCTACAAAATACCGCACTCAGCTGTTTCGGGCTAAGGTATTTTTTATTTTCGAACGCCGGTGAACAATTTACTTTCAGCTGCGTATAATAGTTGTTTTAAAAAATTGCCAAGCCAACTGGAATATGCCGATTGACAAGTTATACTGACGGCACTCTAGACAAGTTGTGGTCCCTACAATGGACTTCTTGGGGGTGTGTACAACAGCTGATTTAACACAGTATTTTCGAAATACAGTAGATACCCGAACGTATAACTAAAGTGAAAGTACCACAGAATATTATATTGTTGTTAAATTATGAAATATATGCAAATTGCCAGTTATTTTTAAGCAAATATGTGTTTTCTGTTTGTTGATAGTTGGTGAAATTGAATTGAATAGCTTTTTCAATCGATTTTTTCATATTTCATATGAAAAAGATTATAAATATTTTTTCCTAGTATTTATTTGAATTCCATTTAAAGTGCTCAACACTGTAGTCAATCATAACAAAAGCAGTGAAAAGAGTGTTTATTGCACTTTTAATAGGGAGCAGTTAAGTTTATCACATCTGTGGAGGCGCGATGGAGAGCGGATTTGATAAGAGCTGATAAGGTGCCGCCCAGCCCCGCAAGTACCTTTAAAAGCGTGCTGCAGGTCACCACTCTCAGTACCAAAGTGACTTCCATTGGGTAGTCAACGCAAAGCGGATCCAGAATGCATTTCGGAGTCTTGGGGAGCGGCATTATCGGTCTTACGACCGCCCTGGAACTCCAGAAGGAGTTTTCCACGGCACGGGTTTCCGTGATTGCGGATCGGTTCAACGAGGACACCGTCAGCTATGTGGCGGCCGGTATTTTCCGGCCTGGAACCAGCTTCATGGGCCCCACCCAGGAAATTACGCAGTGAGCATCTGTTTGAGCTTGGACCTTACCTGTTAGTGCATCTAATAGTTATTATTCGTCGTAGACAGTGGATGACCGATGCCTTCAACTACTGGGATGAGCTGCGTCGCTCCAAGGAGGCTCCTCTGGCGGGCGTGTGCCAATTGTCCGGCTATATTTACTCCCGCACCTCCCCCTCCATCGTACGGGTACGTTGCCGTGCAGTCGACAATCAGTGGTTCTTATCTTCATCGGCTTAATGCGATTAATTTTGTAAATGACTGCCTTAGAACCACTTTATCGAGAAACTACTGCCCGTCTACCGAAAAGCCACGGAGGAGGAACTGAAGCTATGCCACGGCGGCTGGAAGTACGGATCCTTCTTCACCACCTGCCTTACGGAGAGCCGGCTCTTCCTGCCCTACGCCACCAAAAAGTGAGTAGTTTATTTCTGATATGACAGAGAAGCCTTACGAATTTAAAACGCCTGTAGATTCCTGGAGAACGGAGGAGAGATTGTCCGTCAGCATGTGAACAGCTTCTTCGAGGTGCCGCAGAACTTTGATGTGCTCCTTAACTGCACCGGAATGGGAGCCAAAGAGTTGTGCGGCGACCAGCACCTGGTTCCAATCCGGGGTCAAGTGCTGAAAGTGCGTGCTCCCTGGGTAAAGACAGCTTTCTACGGTGATTACGACACCTACGTTCTGCCCGGATTCGAGACTGTCACCTTGGGAGGATGCCGCCAGTTCGACAGCTATAACACCGAGTGGTGCAAGTACGATAGCATGGCCATCCGAGAGCGGTGCTACGATCTGCTGCCCAGCCTCCGTAAGGCGGAGATCGTGCGGGAGTGTGTGGGTCTGCGTCCACACCGCTCCGTGGTGCGGGTGGAGCCAGAGCTGATCTCGAATCCGGAGGGCAGGCGGCTGAAGGTCGTACACAACTACGGCCACGGTGGCTACGGTGTGACCACTGCTCCTGGAACGGCTAAGTACGCAGTTCGATTGGTACGCGATCTGCTGGCGGGAAGCAGTAAACTGTAGGTGGTAAAATCGTTTGTTAATTGTTGGCCATTAAACTCTTTATACTCAGAATCTTTGAACCCCGATTTCATTTCTTTGTTATTACTGTGCCATAAACTAATGAAAGTTCCTAAGGTTTCGATATGCGCCAGGTCTAAATGTTTACCGTCAAATTATATGTACTATTTTCCTATTATATTACTATCATTACTTAAGAATATATAGAAAAATAATACAAAATAATAAAATCCCTTTAGTTTAAGCCAGCTTGACAGTTTGTGGAGGATGTTGTCATGCGTTCCTCAGACTCGATAGTTTCTGGGCCGGATTAAAATGGCCCACAAAGTAAATGCAATGGGCGCGAACAAATTTACGAACAAATTCAAATGAACCCCTGGGTCAGTGCTCCAAAGGGCTCCGGGAAGTGGAGTGCGCATGTCCGGGTCATGAATGGAAAGCTCGCGCGAATTCGCCGCGAAAGCTACGCCCACACACGGACACCCAGGCACGGAGACCCATCGATTTTCAGCAGCAGGAAAATCAGCAGCAGGGCAATTGTGTGGGCAGCAGCCAGCCATCCGCCAAGCAGTCAGTCAGTTGGGCAGTCAGCCAGGTTGAAACAGTTGAATTATGAAAACGTATACAAAACTGGCCCGTTTTCGCCGCAGCAGTCAATTCGCCGCCTGAGAGCGAAAGAAAAATTGAAAATTGTGTGTCCTTTGGTGTCGACGTGTCGAGGCAAAAAGGCAGAAGGTAGTTCGTGCGTCGCATTTGCTAAATAATTGAGCCACTGCAGCCGGAGTCAGCTGAATCCTGGCCAGCCAGCTGAATCCTGTGGGTCGCGGGCGTGTGCATAGTTGATTGGGTAACCGTAAACAACTCAACGCATCAATCGACGCGAAATCGCGGCGTATGTCAGTCCAGTGCCAAGGCTGAGTCGAGTCCTTTGCCATCTCCCTTCAGCGAAAGGAGCTGCCATTATCGATTTGTGTGTATGTGCGAGCAACAACACGGCGTACCTCTCACCCACACACCGAAAGCAGCAGGATACTCTGGTGGCAGCAGGATCTGCAGCAGCAGCACCGCCACAAACAGCAACTGAATTAGCAGCAATTGCAATATCTGCAACCGCAACAACCTCAAGACAGAGTAAGTTTATCTGACGCATTAAGTATACGCCATGATGGCCCAAAAGTGCGGGAACGGGGCTGCTAGTTCCAGCTGAAAACCAAAATACCCGAGTTTTCGCTTCAAAAACTTTGCAGTGTCGGTTCCATATTGTCAAATAATGTGGCCCTTGGTTGGATTTTATGCTTCCAAAATTATTTAAGCCTCTAAACTTATTTCATTTTGACATTATTAGGCATCTTGTAAGGTATCTCAATGTCATGTGCATTACTTTCATCGTAATTCGAAATATTTCTCATATTTTCTGCGGGCTGAGTGTGATTATCTTATTGACAGTAGATATGGGGTGTGCATACATACGAATGCGGCCAATAATATGATTACAATTTCCAGAAAATAGTTGATAGTTTACCTGAAAAACCTGAGTATTTATGCTTAGATGGGCACATGTTTAATATTTACCTCTGACGGCAAACCTAAAATGCAAATTCGCAATTAGCCTTGGTTTTGGCCGCGGCAACTTTTTCAACTGCAGCCATTAGGGCAGCACTGAGTTCACTTTTTGGCCAATACTGGGTTTCTTATCAATAATTAAGCTAGCCCGCAGCTGCCGAGCGCTGAACAGCTGCCAAATCATTGGAAATTTGAAACATGAAAGAGCAGTTAAGGGAGTGGGAAATGGAGCGGGGGGCAGGGCACTGGCAGCCACCCCCAAGCAGGGGGAAACAACAGAAAAATCGATAATTACACGCAGTCGAGCAGATAAAAACATTTCCACACAGCGCCTGTGATAAGGGCCGTCTGCCGTTGAAGACCTCTCATTGCGGCCCATCTTCGGTGTCTGGGTTTTGGGCTCGGGCCCCTCCAGGATGTTGCTGGGGCTGAAGAGGCTTGACAGGAGCGAGGCCTGTCCTTTTGCCAGCGAAATCCTTGACGATGACGCGCGCACTCGCTCCTTCTGCCCAAGTCGTTCATCAGCAATCTGACGGCGTTTTGCCGCTGCGCAACTTCTGATTCTGGAGGGGGCATGAGGGAAGCGGAGGATGAGCGGAAACGGAAACAGGAGCTGGCTATATACACAAATTATCGACACAATGTCGCCGCCTGCTTGCATATGGAAAGCAGGCAGCCAACCATCCCGAAAGCCGAGACTGTTGTCACTTGGCCAAGCCAAGGCTGAAAGTTTTCAAGGCCGCGATTCCCCCTCAGTTCGCCCAGTGACGTGACAGGGATAAGAAAGCGGGTCCGTTGCCTTTCAACACCACCCGCCCACTCCAAGGGTCAAAAGTCAAAGGGACCGGGGGTTATGCTTCAGAAAATATAAACGCAACTTGTTTAATCCACGCGCACGCGATTCAATCGCTTCCGGGCACACAGAGCAGCAGTTGGCCCCCAATCGGCCTTGACCAGTGTTCCATGTACTTCATCTTCGTGCAGGTTGGACCACAAATGCAGTGTCTATGGAGGACATACTGGTTGATAAGCGCATATCTGCTACTCAACCATCTCCATCCGTATCCCGATGTTGACGCCATCGCCCACGCTGCAAAAGGCATCCGCCTTGCAGCCATTCTGGACAGCCATGTTCATTCCTCTGTTATGGATCATTAGCTCCTCCGGTGTGTCCTGATGGAGGCCGCACTTGGACTTGGACTCATTGGTGCCGCTGAAAATGACAATGCCAGGATTGCAAAATGAACCTTGATTGGGAGCCATCATGGGCATTTGAGGTGGCTGTTCCAGTTCCCTAGGCGAATCCTTGCGCAACAGGGTGGTCATACATAAGCTAGTGTTGCTGCTGCTGGTTATTATGGTCGTGGTGTCTATGGTCTCCACCAGCTGACCCTCGTCCTCGGAGGCGGCGATGGCCGCCGCCTCGCTTGCGCGCTCCTGCTGAGCTTTTAGTTCCCGTTCCCGTTCCCGCTCCCGCTCCAGCTCCAATTGCTGCTCCTGTTCGATGCGGTCCTCCTCGTGCTCCTCCTGAGCTTGGTGCTGGCAAAGCTCCACATGCATTCTGGACAACTGGGCGGCATCATATGGGCAGAAGCAGTTGAGGCTTACGACCCGGTTGCCCATGTTCTGGACGGGTCGGCTGTTGCGGGTTATGGGCGAAATCCCGTCCGGCCCGAGGAGCAAGCGAAAGTGACGCAGCTGAAAGTCGCTGATGGCTAGGGATTCGGGAAAGATGAACCATTCGGTGCCCTGGTAGCAGGGCGGGTGGGTCAGCGAACCGCCGTAGGAATAGAAGCCGGATCGAAATGGATACATCAAGTAGGATATGGGAAATGGTGGAATCTGCACGCGCGTTCCAGGCTTCTGAACCAATCGCAAATTTTGCACCAGCGGATCCAGGAACGGATTGTGGGCGGACAAGTCGAAAACGTACCCGATCATCAGCAGATCATAGCTGCTGGTGCACGTCCTGGGAATGCCCGATCCTGTTTTGTGCATAACCTGCATCTCAAGTGGGAACTTTCTGTGGTTGATCGTGTGCTCGGATCCCTCGCTGTTGCACCAGCCCCAGTGGAAGCGCAGCTCCAAAAACGTATAGCTGGCCAAGAGATCAGCTCCACTGATAGTTGGCGCATTACCGTGGAACTGCGCCCGGAGTACAAGTGTCTGACCCGTATTCTCCAGCATGATGCTGGCGGGCAGGTCATCATAGTGGTTCCAGTTCAGCAGCTCCCTTATGGCCATGCGTTGAATTTGAGTCTCATCGATGTTGACTGGGCTCTGAAAGCAGTTTGCTTCCTCTACAGAACTGACAGATAACCCGGACTTTGGTAACCAGGTATGCGGGCCGTGATTCATGTCGTATCCATAACCTGAAGCAGAATATCTCAAGCTCGATTTGTTCCAATATTGCAGTGGAATCCTAACCAAAAGCAGTATGCGCTGATGCACCTCTTTCAGTGATTCCTGATCCGCGTGGTAGGCGAATGCTCCCAGCAGGCAAAGTCCAGTAGTAATCAGTGGATGCTGCACCATTTGTCCCAGGATCTGATAGAATATCAGGAACACAAACTGCACCACCAGGCCCAAGACTGTTCCCAATGTGGTATCAAACATGTTGCCTTCAGTAGATTCGGACTTGCATCTGGAGTGGCAGTTGTGGTGTAAAACGAATCTGCAAGCGCAGAAATCTCAAACAAAGAACTCGAATACAAAACGCTTAGCTCCTTTTAGATTTCCAAGTTATTTTACGAAGCTTTCCGGCTCGTAGGTCTATGACTGTTCCTTTTGCGAATGTGTTTATGTGACTGGGTTCCCAAAGGCTCTGCCATCTTATAGACAAGCTGACAGCCCAGTCTAGCCTGCTACTTTAATAATCTCCCCGTGAGATATAAGATATAGATTATAAGATATAATAACTTGTGGATAATTTATTATGATTTAATATATTGTGTGCAGCGTACATTTTAAATATTTCTAGTAACTATCAAGTAAAATTATAAAGTAATGTGTAGATTCCCCCAATCCCTTTGCTCCACTCCTTGCAGCACCGCTCTAAACCGACGACATGGCGAGTGGCGGAGACCCCAAGTGGCAGAAGGATGCCGCCGACCAGAACTTTGACTACATGTTCAAGCTGCTCATCATCGGCAACTCCAGCGTGGGCAAGACCAGCTTCCTCTTCCGCTACGCCGACGATAGCTTCACATCCGCCTTCGTCTCCACGGTGGGCATCGACTTCAAGGTGAAGACCGTGTTTCGGCACGACAAGCGCGTGAAGCTGCAGATCTGGGTGAGTATATATGCACGAGTATGTGGATGTATGTTCTAGGATTTATATTCGGGTCGCAGCATGTGCTGCCTACTTTTGTGGGCACTTGGGATGTGTAGAACTTGTTTGACCCCGATTAGTTTTGTGGGGGCGAACGAATCGTTCGGAGCAGAGCATTAAACCGGAAAGCTGGGACATTGATTTATGGATTGGCCATCGCTGCGGACGAGGGTGCAGGTGAGCGTCCTCTCGAGAGTCCTTGCCGTGCGATGCCAGCCGTGTCTTCAGTCATTCATTAATGTGATATAATCAATGAGTGGAAAACGGTAGAGGCTTGTGGTTTAAGCCGTTTGTCCATGTTCGGGATGCACTGCTTAGGTCTTAACTACTATTGAATTAACTAATATTAATCCCATTGACTGGGTTATCGCTCTTATAGGACACTGCTGGCCAGGAGCGGTACCGCACCATCACCACCGCCTACTACCGCGGAGCGATGGGCTTCATCCTGATGTACGACGTCACTAACGAGGACAGCTTCAACTCGGTCCAGGATTGGTGTGTGCATGTATTCCTGAGAACGGTATCGCATCTAATACAATTATATATTTACTACCCAAAGGGTGACACAGATCAAGACGTATTCGTGGGACAATGCCCAGGTGATCCTGGTGGGCAACAAGTGCGACATGGAGGACCAGCGGGTGATCAGCTTCGAACGCGGCCGCCAGTTGGCCGATCAGTTGGGTGTTGAGTTCTTCGAGACGTCCGCCAAGGAGAACGTCAACGTCAAGGTGAGTAGGAGTACTTTGGGCGTGCCTAGATCTCCGAATATACCAACTAATTTGCAGGCCGTTTTCGAGCGCCTGGTGGACATCATCTGCGACAAGATGTCCGAGAGCCTGGACGCGGATCCGACGTTAGTGGGCGGTGGCCAGAAGGGCCAGAGGTTGACGGACCAGCCGCAGGGCACGCCCAATGCCAACTGCAACTGTTAGAGGTTCGATGGGAGGATTGGAGGATTGGAGGACGGGTGGATCCTGCAGCACCGCAACAACCATATTCGTAACAACCATAGACAGCAGAATTTGGAAACTAGCTAATTAGTCAGCGATGAAGCTAATCAGTAAGCCGACGATGGCGGTTCGATTACCGATGAAGAGATAATGATAATATAGGCGCGCATACCCCTATCTGCGGGGGCGTGGCCCTGTGTTTGTATTGATATGTGTATGTATATCCGTTGCGTAAGCTCGCCTCAGTGTAAATGTCAAATGTTATTTAATCCGATGTTTGAAATGTATCTTGTAATTTGTAATTGGTATTTTAGAAACTGTAATTTAATTGGCTGGCCGCAGCGACGAAACATTTGTTGAGTGTCTGTATTAAGTTGAGTTTATTCGAATTGCGAGTTCGAGATTCAGAAGAAAAGAGCAAAGAATTTATCGAAAGTCCGATTTGACGGTAATTCGGCACTAATTAAGCATGCACCCAGAGTGCTGATTTAAGTCATTTGATTAGCGACCCCACGTTGACGCAGGGGGTCAAGAGGTCAGCAGGTCAGTCAGCACGAGTATTTCGAACCGTTCTCCACATCCACTTGTATATACGCTGGCTAAACTGTACAGTTTGAGATGCTTGACGAAACGCACAAAGCTAGCGAATCGGTGAAATCGAACAGATAACTAACTACATATATAGTACACCCCTACACCCACACCCACGCCCGCACACACACCCATGTACATGTATGGATACACACACAAGCAAAGAGCACACACACACACACACAAACACACACCGGAAACGAATGTAGTTAAACCAAAAATTCCGACTCGGAACATTCTAGAGAACACAAACAAGCGGCTGAGTGGTAAGCCGCTACTATTAAATATTATGATTATTATTATTATGTACGTATGTATTTATGTAGTGAAATGGAAAGTTTTAATGTGTTGCAAACGATAAAAGAAATATATACATCCCATATACATGCATGTATCGCATAGAGTACCAGCCAGACCCGCAGCTACATAGAGGTACTAGCAGTTTCTGTTGCCCGAATTCCCAAACGAACACCTTCCGAGGGTCAGAGTGACAATAACCCGCAGATTGATCCACCCCCCACCCCCCACCCCGTTGATTTTCCAGCACCTAACCGCCACTTTTTGCTTTCCCCCACGAGACTGTTGCGAACTGAATCCGGATTGCGAGTTACTTGAACCCACCGAGCCAGCTGAGAGATCGGTGCATTTAATTTGCCAGCCCCTTCCGAACCCCAAACACCCCCTTTTATATGCACACCACCCACTTTTCCACCCGCATTCTTTATACTGCATGTCTACTGTACAAGGCTTTCCTTTGTTGACACACAACTACCGCTGCCGAGACTAAATTTGAAGGAAGATTGCAGGCGGGACAAGGACTTTGACTTGGGGGATAACACTGCTGAATCTGAATATGTAACTGAATATATATATATATATTTGCCAATGCTCGTTAATGTTAAATATGTGTACAAGCAGAGTTTCACTTAAATTACGATTAAATTAAAGGCATATCGCTGTATTATAAATACCCATAAAGAAGACAAAACGAAACGGAAAACCGAGTCCGCACCCATGAAAATGCCAGGAAAAACTACACAACAGCGCAACGAGTTGCTTAGTGCCCGCGAGAGGAGAAGAGGGGGAACGGAGGGAGAATTGAGATGATTCTCTACGAAAATGCCTTAAGCCAGTCTTGGTCCTTTTGGCATTCGAACTGTTTTGTAAAATAATTAATCATACAACAACGTGCATAACCACTCGTTCAAGAATTTATCCTTATACCTTATATTCGTGTGTGGATTTCGCTTTTAGTCAAGCCCCAACTAAATAATCCAATCCAATTAAGCTAAACCAAACTAAACTGATGCTAAAACTAAATCTAGACCGGAGTAAAATCAAAGCAAATAATACACACGTACCCGAGAAACAATTGTTGATTACATTCGTGCATAGGCATAACGCAAACATTTTTGCGCTACATTGTTGTCATTTGAACCAATACTTAGCATATTGATTATTGCATTGTGTACTCAGCTAAACCAAATATTTGTAAACCCTATGAAAACAATTCCAACTCCAAGCGAAATGGCATTATTTGGATTCCATTTGAATTGCAGCAGTATAACCCAACTAGGCAATGTATACCGAAATGTCAAAATAAAATAATTCAATATATTATTCAATGATGGTTTTTAAACACTAACACGCATCTGCATACCCGTACTTATGAGGATACTAACATAGATATACAGATACACACACATATATACATAATATACACATAATGGTATTGAACTTATTGTATTCCCATAATAAAATATATGCAAAGGTGTATGGTAAAACAAAGACGGCACTCTGTTTCTTTTGCGGGCGGAGAGGGACAGCATGGTATCTGCACCTTTAAGATACATTCACATCATAATACTTGCCTTATGAGCGGGAAGTGGCAGAAAGTTAAAACACGCGGCATTTTTCTCCATATATTTTACACATTTTATTCATATTGATATACTTGTATAATTTACAATTAAATAAGTCAATTCACATAAATATCAAATATTGTGTGCCACATTCAAGCGCAATCCATAGCTTACGTAGCGGCCACACTGAGTGGCAGTTGAGTGGAGTCCGAGTACAGTAAGTACGGCTTATGAATTATTTATAAATTGTAAATTGTACACGGTTCTCAGGGGCATGAGCGGCTATTGCTGAGTCGGGGATCAAACTGTTGAGCGAGCTCCTTTGGCCAGGACTCGGATATTATAGACAGATATATGTATCGAGTATACTTTGCAGGATATGTCGGTGCTGCGCGTGTGGGTCCTATATTTCGCATAAATGTGTGAGCTGTCCTGAATTTATTTACTTGCTTGCTTTATTGTACATTCGCAACGTTCGTACGGATAGTGGATGCTATCAATTAAAACTAACTCCCAAACTAAATGGCAACATGTGCGGATGCTAGGCAAATGAATTGCAAACTTTTCGCAGATTATTTTTCATTTACAAGTTCCCCTCTTCCTCCCCCTCCCCCTCCCCCTCCACTTCGACTTCAACTTCAACTAATTTGGCATAAAAAGCTCGAGGCACACAAACGTTCTCAAACTAAAGTCGCACTGAGAACCCGTTTTCGCCCCTCATTCCGAACCCAAATCGGATCGGGGCTCTCGAAATGGTAATGGTAATGGTATGGTAATGGTAATTGGACCTAAATGCATGAGCTGCCTGGCTAAATGTTTGCGTGGGACTTAGATGTAATAGCAGAACGTAAATGCATAAAATCAGTCTGACTCTTGTTTTAATACATAATTATATAGTGTAATTTATAATACATACACGAGGCTAAAGCTGAGTAATTCTGTGTCTGTGTGCATACGAGTTATGCAATTGCAAACGAAATGCAGCTGGCGCTGTAAATTATGTAAATGCTAGCGAATCCTATAAATATCTGTGCCCAAATGGGGTATACCAAGCTGGGTTTACGTAAAATTAAGTGGGTGCGTGTATGTACAGAGTTTCAATTATGATGACGGGCACCTAAGGCAGGTGCGCCCGAAAGTATGCTACGTTCGATTGGCGGGAAGGACCTCAGTCCTCCGAGTGAATCCTGTACTGCGGCTTGCGTCTAATGGTGGCGAAGTATTGCGCTTGCTGTTGCTTCTGTTGCTTCTGTTGCTTGCTGCGTTGCTGCAGCAGTTGTTGCAAGTGTTGCTGCCTTTGTTGCAGCCTCAATTGTTGCTGCTGCTGTTGCTGCCGGGGCAGTCGTCACACTGTGGTCTCGTCATCATCAATATTCCGCCTGTTTGCGACAGAAAATTGCCATTAGTGGGTCTGAAATCGGCTTATGATGAAAATATATAGGTATCCAACTATATTTCTAAATTGGCATACACGCTACACTAATTTACGTGCTCCTCTACGACGTGCAGTACTTGATAAGGTGGAATTTGTGGCATGCCACGCAGTCTCATAATTGCATGCGGATACGTGTTTAATGTACATATGTTTGGGTTCAAGCGCAAACATAATTTATGCAACTGAATTATCAAAGTGAAAAAATAAACATAATTCCACGTGTGAATTCGTGTCGGTGCGTTAGTATTGGAGGTGAGGTGTTTGTGTGAGTGGTTCAAATGTGGTTAAGTTTGTTTGGCCAGAACCCAATTAACCTGCCCAGTTATTTGAGTGTTAATGGATTCTGGTTGTTTTTCGCTAAATCACTAACTTTATTGGGCACAATGTCAATAGTTGGCTCTATTGTGTTTCACTTTAGGTGTTTCCATTTCATTTGGATTAAGCCACGCAACTCAAGTTCAGATTGTGAATTTCAATTTACCCTCTCTAGACTTTTTAAGTGCTTTTAATTTATATGTAGATTAATTAAGGAAGGTAATATTATATTTGGGTTTGGATGGCCGAGAAGTAATAATATTCAGCATCTTCTGTTCACTAACAATTGGAATTAAGGACTTAACTAACTAGGGGGTATTGATGTAAGTAGGCGTTCAATAATCTTGCCAGTCATTGAGTAGCGTTTCAAGTTAACTAAGTCTAACTGGAGGGACTAACTAGGAACGGACACATGTCCTTTACTCATTATACCATATGGTTAGCGACCAGGGATACTGTTGCCTCTGTTGCCTGCGATGCAGCCAAATAATGTCGAACTGTGGAGATGTTTAGGTTGTATATAAGGTCTGTTTCTGTAGCGGATGAGTGAGTGGGAATGGCGTGGGCATGATGGACTGATGTAACAGATACAGTCGTTGGGGGGAATTAATAAATGTGTTGAATGCGTAAATTCGATAGTACACGTTCCAATTAAATGCAGCACGAAATTCGAGCATTCGGTTTACAAATTAGAAAGTGTGAGATTCAACTGATTGGATTAATCAAACTAATGAACAAAGAACCATTCGATGGCTGCGGTGGCCAAATGATACGAAAATCAATATTTAATATTTACATTCAATTTAAAATGGTCAAATCAAATTAAAACGGGTGCACTTTGGAATTAGTTAAAGAGCTCGAAATCGAAATCGAAATCGAATCGAATCGTTTTATGCACACCCTAGCTACGAAAAATGAACGCAAACTCAAACGAAGACGTTGATGGAAAAGTGGAAAATGGGAAATGTGATGTGCGATTTGAAAATGCATTTTACTTGTGGTTTACCTCTGAGCTGTTGTTGTTGTAGTAGTAGTAGTTGAATTTGTAGTTGTGTGGTTGTAGTTGATGTTGTTTGATTTGGGCGGGTTTGTTGGGTTTGGATGAATGGAACACGAGCCGCCATCGCATTTTGCATTACGTCGAATTTCAGTTTGCATTTTAGTTTTTTTTTGTTGTTTTTTTGTTTTTTTGTTGTATTTTGTCGATTATAAGTGTGTGTTTGCGGTATGCGTATGTGTGTGTTTGGGTTTATTTTTCAAACAGCCAAATCAGAAAGAGAGAGAGAGAGAGAGAGGGAGAGAGCGAGAGCACGATAGAAGTGAAAGATAGTCAAATTAGATATGCTTCAAACGTTCCCAGGACCAGCTGAAAGGATATGGACATGTATACGTGTAGAGAGAGTATATGGTATGTGTGTAGGAGTGTGCGTGTGTGTGTAAGCGTGCAGTGAGTGTGTGTTGGTTGTACCATATTGATTTGCATTGTTTTCAGTTTTCAGTTTTCAGTTTTCAGTTTTCATTGTTGTGAAAAAAGTCGAATGGCACAAAAGGGTTTATGTCATTGTAGTTGTTGATTCGAATGACACAAAGAAAAGAGAATCAGAAACAAAGGACCACAGATTAATTGCTGGATTCAAAACGGAGAACGAACGGGAATTCCTCAACCAAAACTAATCATCTAGGCCAACAGAAAACTTAAATCAGGACACGGGATGGGCTGCACAGGGAGCACAAGAAGCATTAACTGGTCATCAGGACCTCACAACAAAACTGAAACCAAAACCAAAACCAAAACCTAAACCGAAGCCCACATGTCACAGAAATCTCCCAAAACCAAATGTTTCCACTGGTGCCCGACTAAGTCTATAAGATTTTTCAGGCAAGTGAGTGCCGAAACCGATCACCAGAGACTTCTGTGACATACTGGATGGGCAATCTGGCTGCAGAGCTTCTGGGCAACTTACTCGGTATCCGTGATGCTGGTCAGTGGCCCCAGCGGCTGCATGGGAGCCACCATGCTGGAGGGCGGCGAGGAGGCTCTGGAACTGTGCCGGGATCCGCCATTCAGGGTGTGCCTACCCAGCAAGCCCGGGTTGTTCACATCGTTGACCAGGGCCACTCCAGGTGGCTGCATCAGCTGGGATCCGTGGAGCGACGGCGGTTGGGTGTGGCTCAGCTTCCTGGCGGGCAGGTGGTCCTCCTCGGCGGTGTAGGGAAAGTGGTAGCCATTCTTATCCGATCCCTCGGACAGTCTGTCCTGCAAATGGTGATGCTGCTGCTGCTGCTGTTGCTGCTGCTGCTGGTGGTAGTCGTTCTTTAGGAGCGAGTGTACCGAGTGCAGGGAATCGGTTGCATAGGCGGGCTGTCTCTTGAGGCTGTAATGGCCATCCCTGGATCCATAGATATCGGGTGTTATGCGATCCTTGGACAGGTAAGGCGACTCCGACTTGGCGCCCAGGTAGCCACTGCCGAGCGTGCGCTGCTTGTCGTATATGTTGTCACTCAAGTAGGCGGCATCCGGGTGGAAACTCCTCATGTGACCAATCGTCTGGGAGCCACTGCCTCCGCCGGGGTAGTCCTTTTCGCTGCCATAGTGACTGGGTGGCTTGTAGGAGCCATACTTGTCGGGATACTCTCCGCGTCTTCCATACAGGCTGTCCTCGTAGCCCTCCCGAGCATCTCGGATGTTTTCCAAGATCGAGGGCGGCATATTGATTTTGTTGTGGTGCTGCTGCAGGTAACTGGTGTCCGTGAGATCGGGATTGGGCAGGGGATTCGGCGAGATGGTCATCTTGGCCTGCCCGTGCACGTGTTCGTTATCGGATCCCGTGTCCTGGGACCATCGTCCGATGTTCGGAGGCGATTGCAAATACGCATCCGGCAGCTGACTGGACCAGCGCGGCGCATAGACGGGCTTATTTACGCTCGGGAAGAGCTGCGGACTCTGCACCACATTCAGTTCCGGCGGCGTGGTGGCCTGCACGTGCTCCGTGATGTTGGGTAAATAGGCTGGCGTCGAGCTGACCGCCGTGCTGCGATGTGTGCCAGAAGATCTGGCAGTGCGGGATTCATCATCATCGCTGGAGTGGCTGCTGGCTAGTTCGAGGGATCGTCCATCCGTTTCGGAGCCGGAGTCTGAGTCCTTCCTCTGGCGTCGGGATGGCTTCTCCTCGCCAC